TCTATGCTACCCGACATTTATGACGGAACCGTTTATGACGGTCTTCCTCAATACTGCTCATCCTATCACAACAAATGTCAGAGCGTGTGTATGAACACATGCACTCTGGTCAAAGGTAAGAACAACAACGAATAACATCAAAGATACGACCAAAGTACACCAACCGTCAACTAAACAATAATGTAATATTCTCTAATGTTCAATCCATATATACCGAAGCAATATACAAAATAAAGTTAGTTATAACATCTAACTCAACCAGAGCGTTTCTTTTACTTTTCCTAACACAACACATATATTACACCATTCAATTTTGAACAAAAATAAATTACACAATTGAAAATATTCTCTAAGCAATAAATGTAATGATAGAATTGATTGAAATGTCTGTGATAACATTATCTTTACCGAATGTGTCATATTTCGGATGTAAAACTGTCTAAAACCGAAATCAAGTGAATTTGATTAGTCGTGTCTACTCCCTTAAGTGGTCTACTATTATTTGCTGATCACCGATTAATTTCTGGCCACTTGTCTACATATCGTTCGTAATGAAATAAGCCGACTTTTTTCACCGATGTTTTCATTTTACGGATGAGATTAAATAAATGCATATAGAACAAAATTAAAATGTGATTTCTATCATTTTATTGATATTTTATATAACACATGAATATTTTAAAGATTTCATTTTTTAATCTTTTTTTATCTGTCGTAACAAAACAATTAGTAACACATATGAATATAATAGTTAGTTTTAATTTTTTTTAATGTGCGTAATCAGTTCCAGCGAAATACGATACAAATACTACGTCGCCGCCGACACTAATCAGAGTTTGACCCTATGTGAAAAACAAATTAAACAATCATTGCCATTACAATATGATTTGAAATGAAATTTAAAATCAACCTGATTTTTATGTGGATTATCAACCAATGTCAATTCTGACATATAAAAAGAGACCATTGCATTTCCACCGAGTGCGGTTACATGTGCGCGAACCACGGCCAAAAGCTGAAAGTTTCAAAAAATAATTTTTAAAAAAAATGTCCAAATTTACAAGTTGCATCCGAACCTCTGTGATAAAATTATGAACAAATCCACTGATGCCGCCATTTTCACGAATCGATGTACTCTCTCGAATGAAGAAGAAATTCAAATTGCCCAAATACTTGTCAATGCGACCACCCGGAATATAAGTCAATGGAGTGATATCGACGCCATATCGTTCACGCAATGATGCCTGCAATAAATAAAATCCATGCGCAATCGCGAGGAAAGGTAAAATAAAGAAATTTGGATGAAAAAAATAGAGGAAAAAAAGAAAACACACAAGATTCGTATGAGTCTAACGATCGATAGAATGTTCAAAATGCGCAAAATGTAAACTTATCACTCGTTTTGCAAACGTGCAATTGTCGGAACAGTAAGTACTTGTTTATCTAGACGTAATGAACGAAATAGTGGCCTTGATGGTGATTTACTCTTAAGTTTTAAGGATCCCGTTTCTTTAAGATACTGATTTCTAACGTGACTACTACTACTAACCGCTTGCGTTGAAAATGATTGATTATTCGAGAGATCAGTTACGTGCTCTTCTTCCAAATTAAATATCAATTCGTCATCGGTCATCGGTTTGGCAGATGTTTGCATTTTACGGCGAAAGTGCAATTTTTTCGGCTCGCTCAAACCAAGCGCAATGCCATTTACCAAGATTTGAAATTCGTCCTGAAATAAACGAGTTTTTTTTTAAATGAAATTCATTTACATTGTCAAGCCGTATATATAAGTTCTTAAACTTACTCCTTCTGGTAAATCAAGGCGAAACTTTAGATCGCATATCGCGCACGGAATCATCGAACGCAGCTTAAAGTAAATTGTTTGTAACAGGCGTAAAAAATGTTTTGGAAATGTCCCAACTTTTTGACTTGTTGGAAACTTGGCGCGCCAAACTTGCGTAAACATTTGCAAGTTTCGTGCAATTTCCAGATCGATCAGTCCCGGCAATGATTGTGTATTAACTACATGGAAACCTTCCGGTGCGCTTGGTTCCAAAATCAATGAAATTATCTCAAGATCTTCAACATCATCGATTTCCAATATGCAAATGTCTTTATTACGCGCTGGAACATCAACATCTTTCATATCATCTTCTGATTCGTCGGAGACATCTGACTTTAATGGATTACCAACGCTGTCCAAATCCTGCGAAATGATGTAAACCATTGCATTGATTAGATATCCATTAAAATGTTAAACCATGAACTTCTACTTACTCCATACACTTTAAGTTGGTAAATTTCGCGATTTCGATTAACGGCCTCTTCAAGCGATCGATTCAATTCGTTGATTTTATCAACATTGGTCCATGAATTACCTTGCACTATTTTCGGTATATTTGGTGGCGGCAATGCGGGTAAGTATACTCCAGTTCCTGTACCAATCAGTGCCATCATCTTTTCACCAATTGAAATTGTAATCTTCATGCCAAAAATTGCGTTCATTCCCTTTGCTTTGAGTTTGTTGACCAAAAGTCGTTGCAAGTCGTACTCCAGAAAGGGCAATGCGTCACTGCAATTCAAAACAGAAATTATTAATTTTTGATTGTTTTTTTCCTTCATTTTTAAATACTCGCGATATTTCTACTTACGATATTTCTTTGGCATTCGATTCGGATTTCAGATCTTTTTTATAGCGACATGCTTGTGCGTGTATTAAACAGCCGCGTCCAACAATTTGTAAATTATCTGGTATTTCAATGGTTGTCAACAACACTTCGGGTACCTTTGCTTTTCTGTGTGCAAACAAAAGAGAGAAAAAAAATTAAACGTTTTCACAATTTTGATACAAGTTTAAAAACATCGGTCAATTGCTTACTTGCAAACAGCACACTTTTTTATTTTTCCAGGTAGATTTAATTTGCTAGACGGTATATGACAAAGAGTGCATCCCGTTGGAGCTTGTGCGACTACCACAGTTTCGGTATCGCTATCGGAACCTTTTTGCGAGCCAACGTTCATGTGCTTAAGTTCCTTGGCGATATCATGATCGGGATCTTTTGGTGTGACGGATAGGATTGCAGCCGATGCCGATGCTGGCTTACTCGTTTCGCTCATTGTAAATTGGGTATTTATTACGGCGGCGGTCCCAATAGCAGATAAAACACACACATCATCACTGCAATTTAAAACAGAAATTAATAGTTTTTGATTTTTTCTTTTTCATTTTTAAATACTTACGAAATGCTCGTGATTTCCGTGTAGCCCAATACCACATTACAGCCGAGAGCACGGGCATGTGAGCGAATTTCCATTCTTAATTCGGTCCACCAAAAATCTCTCTCTCCAGGCTCATCTGGGTTCGGTACACGTTCTAATAATTTGACACTGCGTGCACAAACCGTTGACCCAAGCTGCAAGATGAAGCCACACGGATATTTACACAGTGTTAAAAATGGATACTCAAGCATATCCAAATTTTCAAGATTCAATGGTGTTTTGAGATTTGGCATTCCAGCCAATCGTAGTATTCCAGCCGTTGTTCTGGGTTCCACGTTCAATGAACATCCTGAAATATATCATTCAAAAACTATTAAAAATAAAGGAAGATTTTAATTGGAAACAACTCCATTAAATTTTTAGATGAATTTCAGACAAAACATAGCCAAGTTCATGCTTTTCATACTCCAGCCAGTACACTACAATCATGCATGAATATTATAAGTATAAATTTCAATAGAATATAGTTTTCGGTGGTATTTTTGAATGAAACTATCCATTTCTGATATTGGGGCTATACAAATTGACATAAAATTAGCAATGTAAATGTGGGAAATACGACGGAGAAAGAAACGACGACAAAACATAGATATGATCAAGAGGATGACATTGCACTGCATTAGTAAGCAAATGTCATCTTCTTGCACATGTATAGATTTTCGGGCACAATGAAACATCAATTTTATTAGACATCCATCGATAAAATACTCACGTTTTCGAGATGAAGCTGATTGTTATTTTTATCGTTTTCAAAAATATTTTACATTTTATGGGAAATAAATCGATTTGAATTATTTTCATTAGATTTTTTCAGATACACATGTCAAAAACAGTGGATTATGTTTTAGTTTAATACTACTAGAGCTACTGGAGCTATAGCTAAAATGCAATATTATTTCGGTTGAAGTAAAAATGCTGAACGGAAATCATTAGTCTTTATAATTTTAATGATATTTCCACTCGTCACGATAAATCAATTTTTTGATAAATGAAAGGAAAATAAGAAATCTATCTCAATATAATGTCTGTCAAGAACTAAAAATAAAACGCACTAAAGACACGTAAATTTCATTTAAACTAATTTGAAAAGAAAAAAAATTGTAATAAATTAAATCAATGGGCAAAAATCAATGCAAAAACGAACAGAACTAAAGAAAATGCTGTGTCTTCCAACCGAAAATACTTAATTTTGAAAAGAATTTACCTTTTGGTGTGACACTTAAGTCAGAATCAGATGATCGTCGGCACATTGTTTCCTTTGTGTCTTTACCGTCTTTTCCCTTGGACGATGACAAATTTGAGGCGGTGGCCGTTGTGCATGTCGCTGATGCTGTATTATATGACGATGACGATGTTGGCACTTTCGTTGGGCTTGATTGTGTTTTCGTTCCATAAGATTCGGCTCTTGTATGTTGTTTATTGGCACCGCCCGATGCACCGCTCACCGGTATACTCTTTTCATCTTGTGATCTAGGTTTTATATGTGGATCAGGTGCAAGCAATTTAGTTATGTTAGTTTGATTAATCAGCAAATCACCAGAATGGCTATGAATTAGTAATTTATTATTATTATGCTCTTGATTAGGAACTAAATTAGACTTTCGCATGGTTTGTGGTGAGAGTTTTGTAGTATTATTATCAACGGGCGACACACCATAAACACTACAATCGGACAAAAGTGTTTTATTCGAATCGATATGAGTGGCATTTGCATCGATTTCATGTGATTTCTTTTTTTTACATTTGGTTAGTACAAACACGGGCATTTCATTCATCGCCTGATTACTATTATTACCGGTGTCAATTGTGCTACTACTACATGGCGCTTCAGCATTTGTTAATACATGAGACATAGTAAGATTATCGCAAAAAGTTGTATATGACTGTGTCTTTTTTGTATTTTCAGCGATTTTCTCGTCGTTTTTCGGTGGTGATTCTTCGACTGTTTTGACATCCGAACATTCGATTGGTTCCATTTTTACAATATTTTCTGTTTTATTTGTATGCTTCTCTTCGGCTTTAACATTGCTGTCATCGCGATCAAAACTTTTCGGATGAATGCTAACACCCACATCTTCAATAATGTGTGCAGTTTCGTTGAGCATTGTTTTCATGGCCGAATCAAACAGACTAAATTTATCTTTTTTCGGTTCTTTTTTTGGTAATTTCACTTCAGCATTTGAGTCATTTGATCGTCGCCGAAACGGTGAGACCAATAATTTTTTGAATGAGTCAATGCTGGAATTTCGTTTCTCTTCGAATTTTACCGCTTCAACGTGATCGGATGATGGTTGTGCTCCCATAATCGTTGCCTGTTCCATAAGCATTGTTTCCATAGCCGTTTCAAGTAGGCCATGCTTATTACTTATGCCACCATCTGGTTTTGTGTGATGTGGCAAATGTAAATGAGATAAAGTTTCCGAAATTGTCTCTTTGAATTCTTGTAAAATTGAATTTTGTCCCATTTCACTTGTGTCATCATCATCAGCTGTCGTTCCCGGTTGTATCCAATTTTGTTCGTCCACATCATTTGTTTCAGTTGCCGTTAAAATCGTGTTAAGTTGATCTTGTGAACTGTATTGTTCCACCAAACATGTTTCCATCCGTTTTTTATTTTTCGGATTCATAATGCGTGTGGCACCCGTTCTGATCGATCTTTCGAAGGACGATTGACGAGTTAATGGCGGTCTTTTCTCTTCTCCTTTTTTAGCCGATGGCCGTTCACCGTCTGAATCTTCTTGATTATCGTTGGACGGTTGAATCCATTGAATTTCATCTGATTGAGCTTCCTCTTGAGCCAACACAGAATTTACAACCCTGAAAATTGACAACAATTTCATATAAAACTTTTAGTTTCAAAATGGAAAATATAAATTTCCGTTTATTTTGCTTACATGCTGATTGTGTCTGCATCAATCATAACGACATCATCGCCCAAATCCAATTCAGAGCCTTCATCATCTTCAGAGCTGGTCTCCGAATTGACAGAAACCGATGACATCGAAACGCCCGACGATAAATTACCATCTGAAGCCTTCAGATCGATGATGCTATCGCCAACGCTGATATTCAACTTATTTTCAACGTGCTGATGCGAGTGATGATGCTTTTTTGTCGGTAAACTAATCAATGAACTTGAATTGACCGCATCGGACTTTGAAATTGGTGTAAGTGCACTTCGTTCTGCTGACTGATCGGCATTCTCGGCGATTGAGTCGAGACTTGGTGCGGCCATCATTGATCGCACCAATAATGTTGCCATTCCAACACCTCCGTCACGTGAATACTTTGCATGTGATCCTTTTACTTTTTTTATAATATTCGATCCCAATTCAGCGGCTGAATCGCGAAAATTCATTGCCGGTCTATAAAGCGATATATCTGATTGTGATTCATGCAAAAAACCATCATCTTTTCCCTCAACGCTGGCCGAATGCAACAATTTTATCGCGTTCACTTTTTTGTTGAGTAAATTTTTCGATGACGATGATATTCGTTTCATTTTTTGTCGAATGTTTGGTGTGTGCACAGCATCATCGCGTAAATCTTCTTGTTTGAATAGATTTTTTAAAATTTCCAATTCATTGGGCGGACCCAATGCGTCCGTTTCCTCTTCAATAACATTTGCATCCGGATTTTGGGGTATTTTCTTACTGATAATAATACTTGGCGCACGCGACATCGTTTCGTCCGGTTCAATGCCTAAGATTTTATAGACAATATCACCACCGGATGAATGCGTATCAAATGTTGGATCAAAATCGAATATACTGTCGTTACGTTTTGTATCGCTCAATGCCAAAAATTCTAAATACTTTATGGTTTGTCTTTGAATGTTTAATCAGAAAACAAAATTAGATTTAAGAAAAATCACACAAGTCACAAAATGAAATGAAATACACGCCAAAAAAAATGAAAAACCAAAATCCACACCAAGTCAATATTGGTTTGGAGGGATTGAAGAGACATAAAGGCGAATGACATTTTATTGAAGTTTGGTGTCGTTTCAAGAACAAAAGAAGAAAAATTTCAAATTAGATAAAATGCCGTGAATTCAACTCTTTTTTTTATCAGCATTTGGTTAGTATGCTGGAACACCGAAAGTCTTTATAGATCGATTCGATAGAATTGTAGGTGCTTTGCACAAAATTTCATTCACTTACTCTTCGACAAATGCCGATTTTTCAATTATCGGTTGCTGAATTTGCTCTTGAATTTTAATCAAGGTAACAGCGGTGCCGACACCTCTCGCCACAACACCCACATCACCTTCCAAATCGAAACATTGTGTATATCCAATTACTGCATTCGCCCCAAGGTCAATCGCTTTCAAGCCAATCTTTCGCTGAACCTACACAACAACAACAACAACAATACAATTTAGAATGATATTTTGTATTCAGCACTTTTTTTCCATGCTATACCTGTGACGACAACTTCAGAAAAACCACTTGTCGTGCTTCATTCGATGCACGTGGTGTTCGTATTTTATCGATCCATTGGTACTCGGGATCGTCATTCACCACAAGCTCTTCAACAAATCCATGTATAATTTGTGCATGGTATCCAGTTGGTATGATTGGCGCTAAAAAAAGAGACGCGTGCTTAATTAAAATTCACATATTTTCTTTAAATATAGCAAACACATATGGTGTGTAAACATACAGTGGAAAAACTGTACACCGCACGAGCTTTGTCGAAACTTGTTTACGTCTAAAAATAAATCGACTTTCACAATAATATTGATTTCGCCACGAATTCCGTGCATAGTATCGTAGACTGGCAGCCAACCAGACATGACGGAACCTTTTCCCGACTTCGGTTGTGCCGACGCATCTAAACTGGGCAACAACAACGGATTCAAACTGATATTTACTTTCCCAATGGCATCGTTCGCTGAATACGTATCATGGTCCATAATTCGAATTTGTAGCGGTTCATCTTGTAGGTCAGCATCATCAACCTAAATGAAATCGAAACGTTTAGTAGTAATACATTTTTGGTAGCTGTTTGTGATAAAAATACACACCTCAAAGCGAAACCAATCAGAATTCCATTGTGGATGTAACGATTTGCGATAAACATCTGTTTTACAAGTGACCGAACCAAATTTAATTTCAACATATGCATCGGTCGTATCGCTGCTTCTGTCCATCACTGGTAAATTTCGACCAGCCAAGATCTTGACTCGAACTTTCCCTGGCATTTTCTTTACTTTTTATTTTCTCTATTTTTGTCTCAATCGATTTATATTGTTTAATTGAGATGTGAACAAATTATTCGAAAATTGTTCGTAAAAATGTGATGGTTCGTTATATATTAAAATTTATTTTTCATTGGCATACGAACATTTCGCACATAACCTTTTTTCATTCATATCACAAAGCATGAAAAAAGGAACCCAAAAGCAACGAGCTATTTACTATTTGCTCCAATTAAAAATATACTATTTTATTAGCACGCACAGTCGCACACACAAAATGTTGAATGGCGTTATGTAAAGACACAGTAAGATTGTATGAAATATTCTTTTAATAACTGCATGATGTATTTTTCGTCACTTAAATCTGTCTGCCGAAGTAATCTTCTAATTGCGTAGTTGGCTTTCGGTTGTGTTTACAATTTAACACTAAAATTAATTTATTTGAACTTTGCAATGACAACACAGTACAATTATTGCGCACTTTTTTTTCTACACACAGTAAATTTAAAGAAAAGAAATATTTCGGGTAAAAAAATTCTGCTAATGAAAATCACACTTTTTTCTCTTGTTCGTTGAGCTGTCAAAAATCTTATGGCTGATGTCTGCGATAGCAATGCTTTGAGAACGAAAATGAAACCGAATGTATCGACGCATGTACCGCATGCAAAAGAGACAACCATACGTTGTCCGTTTGTATGTATCACAATGTATTTGCGTTTTGCTTTCTCTGTCGGTTGTTTATGTTTATGTCGCATAACAAACATTTCGTATGGCTTACGGTTTTCCGCAACCGCATCAAACTTGATCAATATATAATGCAAACGGAGAACGAACGAATGAAAACAAACCGCACCAAACCGGTGTCTCGGTAGGCGAATGAACACACATCGCTAGCTCACGTGTACATCGCACATTTTTTGTATGCAAACATCGACAATAATTTGTTGTTTGGAATGCAAATTTTAAAGAATTTTTTTTTTATTTGATTTTTTCTTCTCTTTGGATAAAGCAATATGATGAGAATTTCATAATGTTGACGCGTGAATGTCATTAAAATGATGTAATTTTTTTAATATATTTTTTTATATTTTCGAAATTTTAATTGATTTAAGCGATAGTTTGATTTCCTCGAATATTTATTCACACAAATAGTAGCCTCGGTTAAGATGCTTACGTGGAAGTTTACAATAAAATGTATCATTGACTGAGTATGTTGTACATTCACTTGGTTTACTTTTTTAAATTCCATGAAAGTATGCAACAATCTGTATACTGTACACATTGAATAAACCATACATGAAAGAAATTATTTCTTATTTCTTCTTGACCATTTTCAACTAAAAATATTAAAATGTTTAATATGTATAATGTTGTCTTTTGTCTATTACATTCAATGTCCACATGACCACCAAATAATCGATAAATAACAGCCAATAGACCATATATTTTCATGAGGGGAATTAGCTCAGATGGTAGAGCGCTCGCTTTGCATGTGAGAGGTAGCGAGATCGATGCTCGCATTCTCCAGTTTCTTTTTTTTCTTTTTTCGTTCTTTTTTCATCAGTTTTATTCATTACTTCCATCAGTTGGTATAATTCAGAGTTGGAACTAAATTTAAAAATTATCTAATACGAAAAAAGCATATTTTTTTATTCAACGGATTAAGCATATTAACAAACGGAGGAAATTCGCGATGCTCGCATTCTCCAAGATCACTTCTATTTATTTTATAACCATTATTAAAACCATTTGCAATTTTTTTTCGGAAAATATCTGATACACTGTAGTAACGTAGTTTTGCGCGAGAGAGTTGGTATATCGGCGTTGTAGAGGGGCCCGAGTGTAGTCAAGCCTCATACTTCGTTTTGTAAAGTTGGCTCAGTTTAGAAAAAAATTTACTTGATAGTTCTGCTCTGAAGGCTCATTTTGAAGTGAATTTTTTTTAATTCAATTGTGTTGAAAATTGGTATATAGGAGTTTTTGGGCATGAGAAAGCCAAATCTGGCCTTTATTTTACGATACAATAACGTTTTGATACGATTTCCATACAAAAAGTAGCCAAAATGACAAAAAAAAACGTTAAAAATGTATATTTTTGATAGAAACCATGTATTTTTGGTATCGAAATGGCTTGAAAGTTGTTCATAAACGCATAAATTGAATGAAAAATATTAACTCTAGTAAGATTTTACTACGTTTTTTTTTTAAAAAGTATTGCTTTCAAACAAAATTTTCTTTATTTTTCAATTTTCATGTTAAACACTGTGTGTTACACAAAGAGATAATGTTTGTGTGATTTTTTGTGTATTTTGCTTATAGAGCTTGTGCTAAGCTATGCAAAAGTGAAATCATCTGGCAGTTCGAAGCATTGAAGAGAAACAGTGTTATTTATCATAAAGTTTTGCGCTAAATTCGATTGACTGAGGTGAGACAATGCTTATTTTGCATTTAGCAGGACTCAGTTTTATTTGACATTTCCTTAATTATGAAATTTGATTGAATACTTCCGCTCAAATGCAAATCGCGCTAATTATTTTTCTTCTTCTTTTTTTTATTTTTTTCATCAATAAGAAGTGTTATGGTCAACTGATCGAATTGGGCATTTTCATTTGATTTGATGGAATTTTGTGTTATTTTTTGGTCAAATTTATGTGGGTAAGATGTGCTGTTATATGTTTTTTGATTTTATTGCTGATCATTTTCTCATTATTTCACAAAGTTAAAAGATTTAGAACAATATTTATCGTTGTTTAAATGAATAATATGTTCAATTGTTTTCGTCAATTTGCAGTAGACAATGGGGAAGAGAAGGAGAACCGTTGACGTTGAAAAAGGCAAAGTTCACGTCGCTATCAAATGCACGTTAAAACCAATCATTCGTAAACCATATCGCAATGTCATCACCGAAAAACTCAAGGAAAAATGTGTCAGCGCAACGAAGATCTGTGCATTAGCGTCCATGCTTTTGTTATACAAGGTAAACAAAACATTTGATGATCAGAATTATGAGTTTTTCTGCCAAGATGGCGAAACAGTTGTTCGTGAATGCTTCTACAAAATTCTGCAGAAAAATGCGTACAGATGTACAAAAAAGAAGGGAACTGCAAAGAAAACAAAAACAAAGAGAAGAAAGAAAGAATACAAACTCGATCCCGAATTTAAACACTTTGTGCACAGTTTAGGTAAAGAGCATTCATTCGATTGGCACAGAACAGTCATTTTGAAAACATTACGATTGAGCTGATCGACCAGTACGTAACTAATTTGAAGAATAGTTTGTGGATGCACGCAAAGAAACGGCTTCGAGAGTATTTAATGATCAAAGTGTACGAAAACAACAAATGGCCGATCATTGTTTTCTTCGAAGAAGAGGATATCAATCATGCCATCAGTAAAGCTATTTTTGCCACAGAAAGCATAAAAGTTACATCGATGAATGATGTTTTCAAACAGACCCGACGTGATTTGCTGCTGGAAAAGATTCGTCGAATAAGTTGGTTTGATATTGAAGATGATGACTTAGGCCGCTACACAAAGTTCGGAAATTGGTTCAAATCGATTCAAGTTTGGATTGCAATGCAACGCGAAATCGATGAGTACAACACAAACATTGAAAAAAGAGCTGAGCGTCAAAAAGAACGACAAGATCAACATCAACAATAACAAAATCCACAGACACCGGCACCGCGACCAGAGCCTCAGAATCAGCCTCACCCGCCTCATCAGCAACAAGAACAACCACAAAAACGACAACGACGTCACAAATTGTTCAAACCAAAACGGCAACCGAAGAGACGGCGACGACCAAAAAAACAGCAGCTAAAACTAAAAGAGCCCAAATCAAAGCCGAACAGTGATGCAAAATTACCACCGAAGGCCAAGAATTTAGCCGTCGTTGCAAAAATTGATGATGGCACCCAAATTACATTCAAAGAGTTGCAACATAAAGAATGGTACTGGAATCAAATGTTTGACTTGAACAAAATCAAGCGACTTGGAAAGCGGAAAAAAATTCCACTATCGTCTTCTCACCAATGCTGTATCGGTTTCGATGATTTACGAGATGGAACGGACTGAATTCGAGCAATTGAGTAAGGCGACGATCCAAGAAATGTTCTTTGGGAAGAAGTTTGTTTACGTGCTCGGCATCAACCCTGGCGAAAAAACTTGGAACGCCACTGTTTGCAAAGACATCAGCGCCGGAAAAGAGGTAACTTTAAAAATTAGTTTGAAAAAGTATATTTGAATTGAACAAATCGTTTCATCAATTTTTCTAATTTTGTTTGTTTCGTTTTGTCAGGTCAATTTGAAAATCAGTAGCAAAGGCTACCATTGGTACGCGAAAGAGAAGATGCGCAAGAAAAAGAGAAAACGTTGGACTAAAGAGTTCACCCGTGAGAAAGAGATCGATCGAAACAATCGGCAGCTATATCCAGAAATGCCATCGCCAAAAGGAAAAAATTGGCGGTTTTACTTGCAACATAGATTGAAAATGCTCAAGAAGGGGATCGATGTGTATACAACTGATAAGTATACTCGATTAGCATTTGATCAATACATCGAGTCAAATGGTACATCTGACGACGTAGCCGGTATGCGCTCGCATTTTTTGGTTCAGCGGAAACACCGCCTGATTCACCCATCAGAATAAAAAATCCTAGGAGCTTTTATGTTCAAACGTATTCTACTTTTAAGGCAAATATTGAAATATAATGCCGCATATCTAGAATATGCGCAAATAAATGTGTATAACTGCACATATTCGGCGTATATTTCGCATATATTTCGTATATATTTCTTGTATGGCATATTTTTTCATTCTCTTTTGTGCGGTCTTTCTTCGATTCTGTGAAGCTATACAATGTGTGTGTACAATGTCAGTGTAAAATACGTATTATTCGGTGCAGATTTATGCCGTATATATTCGCATATATGATGAATAAGACGCGTATATTGTGAATATTTGTGTATATTTTGTATTATAAAAGCCCCTAGAAAAAATCACGTCAAATGTCCAGGCTCACGGAAGCTGCCAAAGAGTTTTAAGATACGTAGCAATGTGGTTGTTTTGCCTACGAATGAATGGTACACATCGCAAACTTGCGCAATATGTCTTGGCCGATTCGATCGAAGAACAAAACCGCATCGATTCAAAGTGTGCCAAGATTGTCAGTTGGATGAAGAAGTGATGAAGCTACTGACCTATTTTGAAACGGTTGTTGGCAGAGCATATACTAAGCATAGATATATATCCTGGATATTTTTTCAGTATCCGATATTCATTGGAGCCAGACTTTGAAATAGAGTAAAAACAATAGAAGTTATTGTTATAGTGATTGTAGTAATGTAAATGGTTTTATATGTACTTAGACCTATAACAATCACTTCTATTGTTTTCACTCCATTATATTCATATGTCTGGCTGCGATAAATATCGGATACTCACAAAATATCCCGGATATATATCTATGCTCAGTATATGTTCTGGTTGTTGGTTTATTGTTGTTGCCACCCATAATCGTTGCAAAGAAAAGCAAACGCAAACTGAAGGAGGAAAAGGATGAACGAAGTCTCAGTGCCAATCAAGTGATTGATAATGATGAAGCAAATCCAAATCCAATCGAACCAACCGCGGCTGATTTTATGTCAAAGGTATCAATTATCTATTTTATATATTCCATGAAATTAAAAATTGTCTTTGAATTATTTGTTTAGGTGAAAGTGACTTTCAAGAACTGGCGTCTACATCCTGCAACTGGAAATTGGGAAAATGTTGGAGCTGCTCATCAGTCAAAAACTGTATGAAACCGGGACATTGTTGCTGCCAAATGCATTATGATCAAAGGATTGTGTATTTTGTTTGATTATCCAGTCCCACAATCGCTAAGAGAACGATTGCTTTGGCGTCGCCCACGTACTGTACCTTGATGAGAACAGCAAAGAGCATCCACTCAATTCAAAATCAAAAAAATTGTCAAAATTTATATTTATAATTCCGCTATTCCTGAGTCTTGTGGAATAGTTTAAGCAATAGCTTGGAGTTAGGTTGTTCTCGGTAAGTATTCGCGAAGTGTTAATAGTAAACAATGCGCTGTGTTAGGCGCATCACTTTACATAGAATTTTTTTTTACTTTAAATTAACGACTACCATTTTTTATTTTTCAGATACGGGAAACACCCTAATGGGCAGTAGTACAATCCTCAGAAACTTTCAACGTTTATACGTCATCTCGCGAATCATACTCATATGTGCAAACGGTCAACTCCACTTAAAATAAGACTTAAAAAAAAATAAAACACACACATTGTGATATTTTGTGCATACTCCTCTCGTTTCTTTTACAAT